CTCGGGCCGTGGGGTTTTCCAGGGTGACCTCAGAGCCATGAGATTGAGTCAGAAGGAAGTATAGAGTAATTTATCTGTGATTACATGGATGCCCAAGAGTGTGGCCCAGTGGGGCCTGCTTTCCACCATGTGGGGATGACTGATAAATTTGGTAAACAAGGGCCTCCCTACCCCTTCCCCAGCTTTGCAGGAGAAGGAAGTGGTTTCCAATGAGCCCGCGTGTATAGCCTGCCAATATGGGGTCTGAGAGACATCAACCAAGCCTTCATCCGGTAGTGACTGTCCCGCCCCGAGTTAAGGCCTGACAGTTCATGATTGAGCCTAGGCTAGCCCAGGCCCAAGTCTTCTGTGGATTTTGCTTCTAGGCCTGGCTGGCTGAGGTGGAAGGCAGACTCCCAGCACGGAGTGATCAGGCACGCCGGCAGAGCGGAATGTATGACGGTCAGACACACCAGACAGTCACTAATTGCGCCCAAGACCGGGAGAGGTACAGTACCTGTGAGGCCCTGCCTCAGCAAAGGGTTCATCTAGCTTTGTAATTACTTCTAAATTCTGGACTCTCTCCTGAACATAAGGCAAGAGTGTCTATTTCCATCACCTCTGATTCTTCCCACACATCCAGTCTGGGCTGGTGATCTGAGGTGGCATCACTCCACGGTGGTGGGGACAGCCCCACATCTCCAGGTTGGTCGCTATAGTTGCTGTGTGTCTTCCTCTCTTGAGCAGCCCAGATGGTAGTTACACAGAAGAGCAAAGCCAGGAGAGCGAGCTCAAGGTGCTGGCCACGGATCGATGACGAATTTGATGAGGAGGAGCCGCTTCCTGCCATTGGGACCTGCAAGGCCCTCTATACATTTGAAGGTACTGCTGCCCATGGGAGATCCCCTGCCTTCCTAAACCAGCTGGGTGACTCTCTCTCTCTCTCTCTCTCTCTCTCTCTCCCTCTCTCTCTCTCTCTCTCATATTAAAATCTTAGAAAAAATTATTTTTTGATTTTATGTGAGTGGGTGTTTTGCCTACATTTGTGTCTGTGAACCATGTTAGTGTCTGGTGCCTGTGGAGGCCAGAAGAGAGCATCAGAACCTCTGCAACTGGAGTTACAGATGGTTGTGAGCCAACATGTGGGTGCTGGGAACTGAATCTCAGTCCTCTGCAAGAACAGCCAGTGCTCTTAACTGCTGAGCCATCTCTCCAGCCCCAGTAAAAGAATTTTTTAAATAAATAAATAAGATGGAAAAATAATCAATAATCAACTTGACATCAACCCCTACTTGCCATACACTATACACTCACACACACAAAACATACACTCACATACACACAATCTCATACACACACAATCTACACACATCATACACTCACAATTTCACACACACTTATACACACATTAACACTTTTGTACACACACATGCTCATACAATCTCTCTTTTTCACAAACACACACACACATAGAACGAAAGTAGAGTACCTGGGTGAGAAAAAGAAGTGTTAGCTTTTCCTTGACCCACACAGAGGAGCTGCTGATGGTGTTTAAGCTGTTAACAGGCACGCCATTGTTCCCTATGTGGGATCAGCCAATAATTAGGGTGGACTGTCATCGCCATGCCTCTATCCTGTGTGCCTGGACGTGATGCTGCCCAGAGAGTTACAGAAGGTGCTATGAGAGAAGCAGTCAGGGCTCAGGGAAATGGGAAGCTCTAGGATGAGTGATTTGACAGATCCTACAGCATTCTGTACCAGGGGATGTCACCTTGCCTCCAACACAGATACACACAGTGACCCTGCTGACAGTTCCCTAAACTGTTTGGTCCCCCACCCCAACCCCCATTTCATTCTGTGGCTGTGATGAGATACCCTGACAGTCAGCAGCTCAGAGGAGACAGGGTTTACGGTAGCTCACAGTTCCAGGTCCCAGTCCTCAATGCAGGGATCCAAGACAGAAACTTGACACAGCTGCTCATGCCCACAGCCCAGAGATGAAGGCACATGCTATGCCAGCTTCTACCCTTACACAGAATCGATATTTCAGGTGCCACGTCAGTTATGGTGGTTAAGACAGACTCCCATAGGTGGGTGGAGGTGACAAATACCTTTAATCCCAGCACTTGGGAAGCAGAGGCAGGTGAATCTCTGTAAGTTCAAGCCCAGCCTGGTCTACAGAGTGAGTTCTGGGTCATCCAGGGCTACACAGAGAAACCTTGTCTTGAGGAAACAAAACAAAACAAAACAACAACCTCCCATAGACAGGCCCACAGTCTATTCTGCTCTACAGTTCCTCACTGACCTCTTCCCAAGTGGCTTTAGGTTGGGTCAAGCTGACAAAACTAACCATCACACACTCCCAAAGCTGGCCTAGAGGTGTGGTTGACTTTTAAATGACCTTAGGGAACTGCCACCAAAAAGAAAAAGAAAAAAAAAGCTGGAGAGATTGCTCAGCAGTTAAGAGCACTGACTGCTCTTCCAGAGGACCCAAGTTCAGTTCCTAACACCCACATGGCAGCTCACAACTGTCTGTAATTCCAGTTCCAGTGGACCCAACATTCATGGCAAAACACCACTGTACATAAAATACATCTATGAAGAGAGAGAACTGTCTCGGGGCCTTGACTAAGGAGAAAAGACAGCTATATTGTGACTGACAGAGCTGAGCAGAGAGGAGGAAAGCCAAGGCTAGCCCAATGGCTCATCTTTGGGTCCTCGGAAATGCCCTGAGGAAAGAACAGTAGGAGTGTCCCAGTGAACTCAGATCTCCTGAGCTATATTTCCAGGGGCTAAGGACACCAAGTGGGGACAGCTCTAGAGCAGGTAGGAAAAGTAGAACCTTGACATCAGAAAATACCAGAAGGGGAAAGAGATGAGGGCCCTGCTAGAAGGTGCTGTGGAAGCTGAGGGTGGACCCCACCCCACCCCACCCTGCCCCAGGAGAAACCCTGAGAGGAGTGGCCAAGAGGAGCAGAGATTCACCAAGGCCTGTGGGGAGGTGTGTGGGGGGGTAGGGGTTCCTCAGGGGATCTAAGGAAGAGTCCACCACAGACAGGAGAAGGAACCTAGAGATACACATGAGGAAGGAAACCGCTGGGCGGTGCAGAGGACCCCGGAGGACACTCTGCCCTGATATCACCTCGAAATAATGTCATTGCGAGTGCCCTCCCTCACCTCACAGTATATCCTCCCAGCACCGCCTGAGAGACCTCACACCTCACTTTCCTTCTTCAGGTCAGAATGAAGGCACCATTTCCGTGGTAGAAGGAGAAATGCTGAGCGTCATTGAGGAGGACAAGGGTGATGGGTGGACTCGTATCCGCAGAAATGAAGACGAGGAGGGCTATGTCCCTACTTCCTACGTCGAAGTCTATTTAGACAAAAACGCCAAAGGTGCTAAGACTTATATTTAATCCACTTAAAACAAAGCAAAAACCTTTAAAAGCATTGGAGTTGTCTCTCCCCACCACTTTGGCTGTTATAGGCCTTCAAGAGGCCAGCAGAGAGCAAGTGATACAGACACTTGGGAAACTGGGGGCATCTCGTGCCTGAGTTTGCTTGTCCAGCTTGGCTATGTGCAAAGCTGCCACTGGCCTGCTTACAACTGTGTTAACTGTTTGAAATCTGATCAGTGTTTCTATTCCTTCCAACAAATATGTAGATTTTTAAACTGTATGGTGGTGGTTCATGCCTATAACTCTGGCACTCAGAAGGCTGAGTCTGGAGCATCCCACCGAGTTTCAGGCTAGCCTGGGCTACAGAGTAAGACTCAGTTAAAAACAAATAAATAAAAGTTACATTTGTTACTTCATCAATGCAACCGAGTAACATCTCCCAGCCCTCAAGTAAAGACTATAATATTTTCTTGGTGCCCATGAGTGCATTTACAATTGCTGTTCAGGTCCCCTGTGTTATTTACTGTCTGAATGTCCCCAACAACCAGGAGATGTCCAGAAAGGTGTGCTTCTTGACATTACGGTTTTCTAGCCCCACCTGATGGACCTAGGCCAATGGTAGGGTGTCTTCAAGCTGTTGAGGCGGATTTGTGGAGCAGCTAGGTGTGCAACACCCCTGAGGGTGTGGTTTTTCTAAACTCAGTTCTATTCCTGTCAGAAGGTTTGCTGTGAGCAGAACCTGGTGCACTGACCACTGCACGCAGTGGCCCCCGCTTATCCCTTTTCAAGGAAAAGACTTTCTTTTTTTAATCTCTGGCACCTGTAAGAGCCAACATTTGAATTTACTAGACATCATTTTGGGGTTCCTGGCACATTTGATCTGGCTAACTACAGCCAGAATAAAATAAATGGTCTCCATGTTTTAAAGGAATCTGGACCATGTGGGAATTTGCATCTTTAAGTCAGTGCTGATATTGGAGGGGAGAGAGTGACACTGGTCAGATGCAAAGTCGGTTCAGAACTCAGTTGTGTCCATCATGACCCCATCTGTCCACGTCTAATCCTTTTTTTGTTTTGTTTTGTTTTTTTCGAGGCGGGGTTTCTCTGTGTAGCTTTGGAGCCTATCCTGGCGCTTACTCTGGAGACCAGGCTGTCCTCGAACTCACAGAAATCCGCCTGCCTCTGCCTCCCGAGTGCTGGGGTTAAAGGTGTGCGCCACCATCACCCAGCTCACATCTGCTCCTTTCTATTTGATTTTGGAAATTATTTACATCTTATTTTTAAGCAGGAAAATAGCTCTTCGCCTCTATATTAGGGGCTCATTCTTATAAGCTGTTTTGTTTGTTTGTTTTTTTTTAATGTGGTTGGGGATGAGGTTGGGCTGTGTGCATGCTGGCAGGCTCGCTACCACTAAGCTGTAGCCCAGTCCCTGCAATGGTTCTAAAAGTGACAGCCATACATATATCTGGACTCAGGAACCTGAAGAAGTTTCAAGATTCTGGCAATAATTTCACAAGGGCCTGTGAAGTGTCATTGAGCAAGCTTTACATAAGGACAGCCTAGCTCTTAAAGACTTTTTTTTTTTTTTTTTTTGAGTCAGTGTTTTGCTATGTAACCCAGGCTAGCGTTACCCTCTGGGCCCTTGCCTCAGCTTGTGCTTGCTGAGATAAAGATAATATTTTGAAGTAGTGACTGGTTCTTGGCAGTTACAAAGGTGGCACAAAGAAGGCCCCATGGCCTCCCCAAGGCCCCAGCAGCCATACCTCACAGTCTAGTACAGTCTCAGAAATAGGAAGCTGACCCAGTCCACCTGTTTTCAATGCACATTAATTTTGTAATTTGTATTTTGTTTGAGTAACTTTTCTGTCATTCTGGGGCCCCTTCAGGTGATCAGCCTCCTGGGTGAAATGGAGGGGTTTCCCTCAGGTTTGTGCAAGTTGGGGTGGGGGAAGCATCAGTTTGGACATGCATTTGTGGTCACAGTCTTAAGTGTATTACTTAATTGAACCTTAGCATCCTAATAGAAGAACCAGACCAACACTGACTACCCTGAATGACACTGTAGTTCCATCTCTTCAATGGTGGATAATAAAAATTCCTTCTGATAGCTTGCTGTTAAAAAAGGGAGATTGGAGGTGTGGTTAAGGGAAGATGGCTCAGCAGATACAGGAATTTGTCCCCAGGCCTGACGAATGTGAGTGCTATCCCTAGGACTCATGTGATTGAAGGAAAGGACCAACTTCCAAAAGTTGACCTCTGACTTTCCTGCCCCATGGCACATGTGCACACCCACACAAAACACACAGAACTCAATGTAAGAAACTAGAAAGCAGGGCAGTGGTGGCACACACCTGTAACCCCAGCACTTGGGAGCCCTATCTGTGAGTTCGAGGCCAGCCTGGTCTCTAGAGTGAGTTCCAGACAGCCAGGGCTACATAGTGAGACCCTATCTCAAAACAACAAAATAAATAAGAGAGGGAGAGCTAAACTGTCTGTACCTTTTTCCTATTATCAGGAAGGTATAGTTGAAATTAGCAGCCACCTGAGAACTTCCCCCAGCCTGGGGGGAGGGGGATTGCCATCCCACCTAGCCTCTCCCACCTAGCCTCTCTGACTTCCTGCCTCCAACCCCAGTTGGAGCTCCAGGGCCCAGTTGCTGCTCCCTGACTCCCAGGAACTCAAAGCAGCTCTTGGATTTTTTGGGGGGTGGGTTCCAGATAGGGTCTCTGTTTAGCCCTGACTATCCTGGAACTTGCTCTATAGACCAGGCTGGCTTCAAACTCAGAGATCTGCCTGCCTCTGCCTCTGGGATTAAAGGTGTGTGCCACCATTGCCCAGCTGCACCTTTTGAATTTTTATAAAATAATGCCAGGGCACTTTCTGTGTGTGTGGTATCTGTGACATACTTAAACATTGCCAAAATACTAGACTACTCTGAGCCTCTTGGGGCAATGTCGATTTTTACATCACTTTCTGTTGAACGTGTCTGTAATCCTGCCCTGCAGGGTATATTTGTATATATTGCAATTTGAAAACTAAACAAATTCTTCGAACAGTGTTGTTTTAATCTTTTACCTGTTTTATTTGTTATTCTTCTGCCTAACCACTTTTTGTTTTTATAACTACTGGGGAGGCCCCTGGACTCTTGCACTGTAGCTAGGTCCCCCGGCTGGCTGCTGCGCACTTGAGTTTATTGTACCCTCCCTGGGCTCTGAGTAAGTTGCTCAAATACAGCTGTCATGATTGTTTTCTTTCTATTCTTACCTAAAAGAAAAGAATCTCTGCCTGTCATTCTCCAGTTGTGCCCTCGTATCTGCCTAGCTAATAAATATTATTTTTCTCAGTGCTGTGTATTTTAAGTGATTTTTCTCTTTTTCCAGAATATTTTTCTCTGTAATAAATATATAACTCCTTCATCTCTGGTACTGAGGAATTTTCCAGCCAAATGCTTTTTTTTTTTTTTTTTCCAAATAATTCTGCCTCCCTGTTCTTACCCCTCCTGTTCTCGGGGCTTGGAGCATCTGCTTTTCTTGGGTCTTCTCTCGCCTCTGGCGATGGAGAGCTTTCGCTGCACAACGAAGCATGGCAGGCAGCCTTAGGCTCCCCTCTTGCCAAAGCAGTCCATCCTGACTGCAGAGAGACCGACAGTTGCAATGGGAGAGAGAATTTGCCCTTCAGCTTCCTCACACCATCCTGGACAAATTGATCTTTTGGTCCAGAGATGGGGCCAGCTAAAGATGGGAATTAAGAGTCTTGCCAGAGTGTAGGAAGTAGAAACAGAAGGACATGAGTTCAAGGACATCTTCAGCTATATAGAGAATCTGAGGTCACCGTAGGCTACATGAGAGCCTGCCTCAAAACAAAAGATTAAAGCCTCGAAAGCTCTCCATGGTAGAGACACTCTGGTAACCAATTACTCAAATCCCTGCCCCTCCCCACAAGGCAGGCAGTTTGCCAGTGCCAAACTGCCTGCCTCTCACCTGCGGCTTTCTCTAACCCGGGGCTTCTCTTTTTTCTTTTTGTGTTATAGGTTCCTAAAGGCAGTGCACATGGCCAGAGTTCCCCTGTGAGCCTCCCCAGGAGCCACCATCGTCCAGCCCTCTTGTCCCCACAGGCCTCCAGCGCCACCCAGGCTGGCTGGGCATCCTCCAGCTCATCTGCAAGCTGGGTCCCCATGCCCCACTTCCCTTTCTCGTCATAGCATGCTCCCATGACTCTGCCATTCCCTCTACTCATTGTATTGGCGGGGGCATTTCTCTTCCTCAGCCCCACACAGGGGGTGTCCGCCACACTCCAGTCCCCATCCACACAGGCCACAAAGACATCTGGACTTGTGCCCATGTGTCCCCATGTGTCCCTACTCCTGGGCTCCCAGTCCACCTGCAGATCGCCTGGCCAGGCCTTGCACATTTCACACCGTGCCTTTTTGTCAGCCGTCGCCACTGGTTTCCTGGGTGACCACCAGAATCCAGACAAGGAGGGCCAGTCATGCATTGGGTGGACTGAGCACCCACCTGTCTCCCTGTGTCTCTTGGGACATCAGCAGATATGTCCTTCTTTCCAGAGGTTGCTGCCTCAGCCCCTCCTGGTCACCCACCCTCCAACATCTCAGCACTGACACCTCCCATACTCCATCCCAGTGGGTCTATGGTGGGACTGAGGTATCCATCCCCACCCACCCCCACTCTGGTTCTAACCCGTCTACATGGCCCAGGAAGTTAACATTGAAGTCCCAACTCCAGCTTGTGGGCCAGCCCTGTTATCTTGCCTGTGAGCACTGTCCACCTGTTCATGGCACCCTGTGACGGACGGCCTCACACCCACTAGCTCATTACTGTAAGGTGGACCTGCTGAGTCCCATAAGTAGCATTTGAGGACTCTACTATGTTCCTCACCAAAGACCTTGTGCCTCTTGTGATCCCTCTGGTGGCTCTGCAGCCACCATTTCTGCATTTAATCCTGGAAGCCCTGTAGAATGGATGGAGTTTGCTTTTGAAGCTGTTTTCCTCCTCGAATGATGGATTTTTGCTTGAGAACCAAGATGGTCATTCGCACCTTAGAGCCGCACAGCTTCTCCCTCCCTGGTACAGAAGCACTCAAGACTTGGCTGCGAGCCCCTGTGAAGGGCACTCTGTTAGCGCGAGCTTGAGAAACTTGGCATCTTCCTCTGGGTAGCTGGTAGCTTGACATCATGTCAGAGTATCAAAGACATGGGAGTCTTACAAAGACCGCAGAGATGGGGACACAGAAAGGGCAGGTCCTCAGGGTCTGGCCTGAGCTTTGTCCAGAGTTTGTGGAAATCCAGACATTCTCCACAAACTGGGGCTGGCACACCACCCTGCAGAACAGCACTGCCAACTTCATAGCAGAGGGTGGGTACCAGGGTGGGAAGTACCGACAAGGGCCTGCCTTTGGGTTTCAAGAGCAAGCAAGGATTAGCTTTCTGGCTTTCTCTACCCCTCTTCCTCCCAAGCAAGGCCAAGCCCAGAGTCCTGCACACTTCCCTCTAGGGCCCCCATAAAGCTGTTCCACAAACCACAGTTTCTGTTCCCTGTAGCAGGTGTGCCCTTAGTCACATGAGGAAGGCTTAGTGAACAAAATGGAAGCCTGGTATCTAAGTGTGACTGTCAGGGCCTCAACTTCAACACAGTTAATCAGACTGGGGTCCCTGCAGCCCCACTGCAGCAGGTCACCAGGCATCTATCCCCAGAACCTTGGATTTTCACCAAGTTGGGCTGACCGCTGTTCCCTCCATGAGGAAGCTAAGTGGTTTTTGCAGATCTCAGTAATGGATGGAGAACGTGTCTCCCATCTCTAGGGTCAAGAAAGACTCTTGCCACAAAGGTAAAATGGATAAGCTGCCAATCCAAGACTGTTAAAGCCTCTGCCTGTTTCTCTTCACTTCTAACTGACTGTACTACCTACATCCAGAAAAGATGGCGGCCAAGCGTCTTCCAGCCCATTCTCTGAGATGCACATTCTGCTGTGGGAATCCTGTGGAATCTTACCGGTTGTGGGGGGAGGGTACAGGTTTTCCCAGGGAGCTCTACACTCCCTCTTCCCCAGGATCCCACTGCCTGTCATCCCTAGCTGCTAGTGTGCTGTTATAAGAATGACTCACTGTAAAAGAACCTGCCCTGCAAATGACTTAGAGACGAAAATAAAAGGAACTTGACATTTATCCGTTTTTTTTTTTTTTTCCTATGCAGGATATGAAGCTGTAATAGCTCCTCCCTCTCGGCTGAGTGGCTCAGCCAGTGGGATCAGCCCAAATATTGCACAGGGGGCTTCTAATGCCTTCTGGTGACAGCAGAATGCTCACACAGTCAAACAAGTTGTGTTCCTGTCAATAATTTTTCAGAAACTGCAGCCTGATGGGTTTTTTTGATTTTGTGTCCTATATGTATAACATTCAGAATGTCTCCAATAATGGTCCCAAGCTCTCTTTTAACATGACATGGAGCACCTTTTAAAACGCGCGCTTGTGTGTCTCTGTGTGTGTGTGTGTGTGTGTGTGTATGTGTGTGTATGTGTGTTCATGTATTCATGCCAGTGAGCTGCACTAATTCTTAGCCTTGAGGGCATGGCACTGCTGGGAAGTCAGGTCTTGGACTAGCGCGTGTCTGTGTGTGTGTGTGTGTATGTGTGTTCATGTATTCGTGCCAGTGAGCTGCACTAATTCTTAGCCTTGAGGGCATGGCACTGCTGGGAAGTCAGGTCTTGGACTAGCCTGTGTCTCTGGAGGTGGAATTAAAACCAAACAAAGTGCTTTCATTAGAAGGCTACTCTCAACCTTGTAATTAAATGTTAGTCCTTTCAATGTTAAATAAAATATAACTTCTGGCGTACAGTCACCTGTTCTCTGGTTTCATGAAGAGATGACTCTGGGGCTGAGGAGATGGCTGAGTGGGTAAAATGCCTGCTAAGCAGGCATGAGGACCTGAGTTCAATTCCCAGCACCCACATAAATAGCTGGGCCCAGCAGTCAGAGCAGCAACTCAGCATGGGGCGGGGCAGGTGAGTCCCAGCCAACAACTGGACAGTTAATCTATGAGACCTTTCATCAAAAATTACAGAGGCGCATGCCATTAACCCTGGTCTTAAATATTGAGTTCCAGACCAGCCAAGGTTACACAGGGACCTGCCTGCCTCTATCAAATTAAGATAGAGAGTGATAAAGGCTAACACCCAATGCTGTTGATCTGGTCTCCTATACATATAAGCTGTGAGCACCCCCACAAGCTTGAACACACACACACACACACACACACACACACACACACACACACCAGGAAGCAGGACTGTAGTCACAGAAGCTCCCAGGGCTGATAGCTGACCTCTGTTCTTCTCTGTCATATAAACTTGAGGAATCATGTCTACTCAGGGACAGGCTAGGGACCTACTTAACTATGTCACTCACAGTCCTAAGAAAGGCTGTCACATCACAGTGACACATTCTATCTAATGTGTGTGTGTTGGGGGTGCATTGATTGGGATTGACTCCTTAGCAAGTGAGGATTTTCTTTTTGTTTTTCAAGACAGGGTTTCTCTGTGTAGCCCTGGCTGTCCTGGAACTCATTCTATAGACCAGGCTGGCCTCGAAGTCACAAAGATCGGCCTGCCTCTGCCTCCCGAGTGCTGGGATTAAAGGTGTGTGCCACCACTGCCTGGCTGAGGACTTTCTTGCTCCCCTTCCTCTAGCCGGTTGACCTCTGACCTCAGGGACGCTGTGTGTGGGAGTGTGAGCAGTGTGAGGACATGTCCGTGGCCCACTAATGATCTACTGCTCTCCAAGTAGCTAGGCTTGAACTGCTACAGGTCAAGTCAACAGCCCTAAATGGCTCTAAAGGACTACCTGCAGGCCCAGTGTGGTGGCACACACCCTCAATCTCAACTATGGGAAGGCAGAAAGACCAAGAGGATCCCCATGAGTTCTGGGCCAGCCTGGTCTACATAGTGAGTTTGAGGCCAGCCAGAACTATATAGTGAGACTCTACTTCAAAAGGGACGGGTGCCACATGCCTGGTACTCACTGGCTTTATCGTTGGAGGCCATGCTTCCACAGCTGGCTTGGAACACTTCACCCTGTCTTCTCAGGGAAGGTGTAAACACACCTTCATTCCCTAAGGGTATCTAGGGGTGCTTCAGAGAAGCAGTTGTCCACATTGAGAGGTATTAGCAGCTATACCAAGTATGGGCAGAGTGGTCCTGCTAACACCATATCAGCACACTCCCCCAGGGGTCATCAGTGAGAGGGAGACACAGAAGTCTCACCCACAGTGGATGGAAGTGGCTTCCAAGAAAGCTGCTACCTTTCTGGGAACTAGTACTAGGAGGCTAACATTGGGACCAAACTTCTAAACAAGAAGTGGTAGCTGGATTTGGGGGTACACACCTGAAATCCTAGCACTCAGGAAGTGGACACAGGAGAACCAGCTCAAGGCTGGTCACTCTCCATACAGACAGTGTGTTGGGGGGATCCAGGTGACGGGTGCTAGCAAAAGGTTGTTTTGGAACGCTATTTCCAGAATGTTCTTTGAGTACTTGGTTGTTCCCTCAGGAAGGAGTTTGTGGACCAGAGCCTGGCATCTCCGTGGCTCCTCAGAACCCTGGTACTGGGGTTGCAGAGAAGTTCCTAATTCACAGATTCAGGACAGCCACACACCCTTGGGTTGGGTGTCTCCAGTATTCTGGAAATACTAGCTGGCCCAGACACCCCAGCATCCAGCTTGCCCTGGCCGCACCCAGGCCTCAGGCGCCTTGTTAGGGAAGTGGCGACCCCTAGTGGAAGAAGGCAGAACGGGACTTAATCTGAAACTATGGTTGAAGCATAAGAGCCCGAGGGTGGGGATGGGGAGCATCCCTCACTACCTCCAATATCAGAGCCTCATGCTTGCTTACAGTAAAATTCTAGGATTGTGAGAGCCTCAGGGCAGGGCAGCCCCCCAAGCCACACTGTTAACTGCTGCTGCCGGCAGTCGGCTGGCTAGGCAGATGAAGGCAGCAGGGTGGAAGCCCTTGCTGCTGTGCCAGGTGACCTGGACCTGGGTTCTCTCCCTGGGTTCCCACGTGGTAGAGGATGAGAACTGACTCTGGAAGGTTATCTCCTGACCTTCACATGTACACAGTGGCATCCTGACCCCACCACCCTCAAAATAAGTGAATTAAAAAACAACGTGCAAGGCCAGGCGTTGGTGGCACACACCTTTAATCCCAGCATTCGGGAGGCAGAGGCAGGCGGATCTCTGTGAGTTCGAGACCAGCCTGGTCTACAAGAGCTAGTTCCAGGACAGCCTCCAAAAGCCACAGAGATACACACATGGGATGGTCAAGTGCCAAGTCAATAAATATTTTGTGAAATAAAAAAAAAAAAGCCACAGAGAAACCCTGTCTCAAAAAACAAAAACAAAACAAAACAAAACAAAACAAAAAAAAAACCAACGTGCGGGGTGGAGAGATGGCTCAGCGGTTAAGAGCACTGACTGTTCTTCCAGAGGTCCTGAGTTCAATTCCAGCAACCACATGGTGGCTCACAGCCACCTTGAATGAAATCTGGTGCCCTCTGCTGGCATGCAGGCAGAAGACATAATAAATAAAATCTTTATTAAAAAAAAAAAGATTAAAAAAAAAACTTGCTGGTATCAAAGGTGAGCCCATGGATCCTGGGAAGATTTAAAAAAAAAACTTGCTGGTATCAAAGGTGAGCCCATGGATCCTGGGAAAGCAGGAGGTGGCTGGACAGTGAATATGGCAGCTGGGCATGGTGGAACATAGCTGTAACCTCAGCACTCAGGAGTTCCAGGCCAGCCTGAGCTACATAGCCGAGCCCTGTTTCAGCTAACACTTAAGGCAGGCTAAGCTGGAGGGGGTCGACTCTTCTGGCTCTGCCATCACTCAGGATGAGACCTCCCCTCCCTAGTCCCTGTAGTTCTTTCCTCTAGTGTTCAAATATGGGCTGGTAGCCAACCAGCACCCTGCAGCCCCCTCGTGTCTTGAGTTGCATCAAGCACCCATTAGGCCCTGACTGAAACACTTCTGGCTCTGTCCAGTAGGTTTTTAGTGACATCAACTGGGGACATCTCAGGGCTACAAGAAGATAATATAAACAAAGGCTTACCTGTGCCTTTGTCCTGAGAACTGGGAGGGCAGGAGGAGATTTCCAGCCCTGCAGTGCCTTGCTGGACACAATGCCCCAAAAAAGGGACGGTACTGGAGAGTCTGTGAAGATGTAATGGTGCTGTGAGCCCTGCGGGAACCTCCACCCCTCATCCGCTCTCCCCTGTGAGGGCCACAGTGGTCCTGGAACACTTATTCAAGGTTGACTGGTCTTTTTCAGGCTCCCTGCAGATATCGGTGCATCTGTGCCCATTGCCTGCTCCATCAAGCAAGGTTGTGGAGACAGGAAGCCTGATGCTAAAATTCTGATTTCTGGTTCAAAATTAGGCAGTGCAAGACTCAGGATAGTTTGTGTTTGCCCTGATTTAAAACAGAACAGGGGTCGAAAGTACATCCTTGTTGATACAACCCATGCAACTTTGTGGGCAGAACCACTGAGGACCTGCACGTGCCCCCAGGTGCCAGCCACCTACTCTGCAGGGATGGCTACCCATTCCCACAGAGGCACTGTCCTGCCTGGGCTCTTCCTCAAAGAATCAGCCATTAGTTGGCCCCACCTCACCAGCCCCTGGCGACTTCCTGTGTAGCTCAGCTAGGGTACATTGCCTGCCAGGTCTAGGTTCACTGGAGCCTCTTCAGAGCTAGGTGTTTATTTCAATGGAAACTACCAAAGTGTTTTGAGGTAAATTGGGTCTATTTCTAGCTTATCTTCCTGCAGTATAAGAAATGAATGTTGCCAAGCCCCTGAAATAACTCCAGACAGAACTCCTCCACCATAGGAAGCCGCCCACGTGTGCACTGTGTGTTCAAATGTCTGAAACATTTCTAGAAACACCACACACACAGTAACTCATAAACAGAGGCTTGATGAGACAAGGTACAGGGGCTTATGTAGTCCAGGCTGGCCTGCAACTCAGGATGTGGCCAAGGGTGATCCTCCTGCCTCTACCTGTTATAGGCAGCTTCTACTACGAAAGGTTCCACCATGCCTGGATTAAGTGGTAGGAATGCAATCCAGGCTGTCATGCATATTAGATAAAACACTCTTCCAACTGTGAGGTACATTCCCAGCCCTACAAGTGTTTTTTGTTTGGTGGAATTTTTTTTTTTTGAGACACGAGTCCTGTAACACATGTTAACCTCCAATTTATTACGTAGCTGAGCATGGCTTTGAACTCCTGATCCTCCTGCCTCTGACTTCCAAAGTTTTGAGACACGAGTCCTGTAACACATGTTAACCTCCAATTTATTACATAGCTGAGCATGGCTTTGAACTCCTGATCCTCCTGCCTCTGACTTCCAAACTCTGGACTAGAGTTGTCCATCACTACTCCTGGTCCTGAGCCTTCAGGTAAGATGGGGTGTCAGTGGCCAGTCTGCTCTCCTGTGTGGGACTGATTAAATCTGGGCCCCATAACATGCTTAACCACTGAGATACACCCCAAGTCCCTAGCTCTATGGTTTTAAAGAAATACATACTCTCAGACTCTCCCCCAGAAAGCAAAAATAAATGGGACCAGAGTTGTAGGGATGATGCCCAGTGCCACACCTATGGTCCTGAGGGTAAGGTTCAATGGCTCTGTAGCTACTTTGCAGGCTACTGCTGAGGTAAACAGGGATGATAACACATGGAATATGCTGGCCACTAAACACATCCCCGCTGGGGCCCCCTGTGGTTTGGCGGGTTCCAGGAAAGGAAAGACACAGTTGGTACTTCAATTGTTCCAGCCTCCTCCCCAAAGCTTCCACAGGGCCTCTGGCTTTTGTTAATCACCACTGGAGACAGACGCCACAGTACAAGCTAGGGGCAGGGGAGGAATGCATATTTATTGTGACATTCTGAACACAAACCAGACTGCATCACAGTAGTGCAATGAGCCAAGGGCTCTACAGCAGAGACTTCAAAAGATGGCAACCAACAGGGCAAGTCCCAGCAGCAGCTGTCTATGGGTCCATGTGCCACCCCAATGGGAAGAAGTAGGTCTAGGGGATGCCAAATGCCCAGGCCTGGAACCCACTTCTGCAGAGACTGGAGGCCACTGTCCTCTGGAGGTCACTTGGTACCAGGATCCCTTACCACCCCAGACTTGGCTTTGAAGATCTTACCCTAGATGTCCTGTCCAGATTTCTCAAGGACCTCAGAAACAGGACAGCCTCTCTAGGCTCAATGGGTCCCAGTACCTCTGCAGTGGCCTTGGAGGACCCTCTGGACAAAGTGCCTGTGTGAGTGGCCACAGATCACATCTTCCCCAGAGGTGGCCCTAGACACCAAGGCTGGGGGAGGTGCTGGAAGGGAGAATCAGGGTTACTCTAGGCCACACAGGAAGTTGTGCAAGCAACTAACAGAGCACTAGTGTATGAGGTATCTGTTTATCCCACCCACTCAGGGGCTCAGGAGCCACTCCAACAAGACAAGGTGGTAGGTCCTCTACAAGCAAAACTTACTCTTTCTCCATTCCAACCAAAGAATCCTGAATCTACAGTCAACAGCAAACAGGGCAGCCTGGACTTCCCAGGAGACTCTGGTAACCAAATGACACGAAGGGCCGCTGGCCGGCATGCAGAGCCCCTCACATCCATTGTGACCCAGGGCATGGAAATCTACCACGAAGGGCCGCTGGCCAGCATGCAGAGCCCCTCACATCCATTGTGACCCAGGGCATGGAAATCTACCTTTGTGAGTCCCTAAGGTGTTGGGTCAAGTACACAACAGAAAATACTCAAAAGGTGGCAGCCACTCCTAGCCCCCCATCCCAGGGACCAGCATTGGCTGAGGAGCAGCATGGGGCTCCTGGAGAAAAGCTGCACCCGAGCTAGCAAGAGGGCAAGTTTGGGGACACGGTGATGACAGTCAGAGGCCTCAGAAGTCTGAGAGAATATATTTCCCAGCACAGCATCTCTCATGGCCGACGGACCAGCCGCACTTAGTCTCTGCACCAGGCACAAAGCAGCTCAGCTGCAGGGCACAGACACACCCTCTGGGGGATGGCAAATACCAGCCTTCAGGGACAGTGGGCACTCAGCAGGACACAGCCTTCAGAGGGATGCAGGGTTGTCTGGAGAGGGAGTAGGGCCAGCCACAGCCACTGGCCCAAATCACACAGCCCGGGTCTCAGCCTCAATCTTTTGCTCTCCATGCAAGCTCTCTGGGTCTGGGGCCTGGGCCACACTCTGCCGGATGGCAATCTCAGGGCCACCCCCATATAGGCTGTTCAGATAGGTCCAGGTCTCTTCAGAAATCTGCCCATAGTCAGCCCCTGTGGAACAGGAGAAGCACGCTTAGTGGGGACCCCTGGGGATGAGGACAGGGATGATGTCCCAGAAGAGAGGGAGGGAGAAGTAACCACAGGTGTGCCCCTCCCACCCCCCGCCCAGAAAGCTGCTGCATGTAGAAATGCCTTTCTTCTAAGAGCCCCAAAGGACATGTCTCAGGCTGTTACTGCTTGTTTCCCAGGGTTAGATGACATAAGAGTCAACCAGGCTTACCAGGAGGTAGAAGAGGCAGGGTGTGGTGAGGGCCTGGACAACCTACACACAGGCCAAGCACCTGGAACCCTCTACATGGCCTCTAGGCCTGGACTTGGATAACAGGACTTTGAGACAGGTGGCAAAACTTCCTGGAAGGACAGGCCTGAAGGTACAAAGTGGGCGCTGGGGGACTCACCCTGCTTTAGCTGGATCTGGCCACTGCCTTTGACCTGAGCGATCCTGCTGTTGTCAATGGGCCCAGGAGGCTCTGCAATAGAAAGGGCTGGGTTCAGGGTTCCAGACGGCGCTATCCTTCATCAAGGCTAATTACCCAGAGCCCACAGAGGCCAACCTGGCCTCAGGTCAGAGCCAAGGCTAACAGAGGACACTTGGCAGACCAATGCCTTCCTCTTGATTTCAAGCCAGCCTCTCAGTACTCTGGACCCAGAAGAGGATATAACTAGGGGGCATGGGATTGTTTTAGACCAGTGTTTTAGTGATGGGTGTCAGTGGCAGCTGCCACACACTAGTGCCCTTTCCTAGTCCACTACCATCTCATTTAACCCTCAGCAATTATGGGAAATGAGAACTGTTTACACGGGGCAGAGGTTTGGGCAGCTGGAGAGACCTGCCCAGCTCTTTGGAGGAAGGAGCTGGAGGAAGCCAAGGCCAGAAGCCAGGCCATGGACAGACCCCCAGGGCTCTGTTCCCAACCACAGATACCTGACTACTTTAGCCAGCAAAGGATGGGTCTGGGGAAAGTGATCCAACACCCTCTCCAGTACTGACTGTTCATGCTCTGAAAAGCAGGCAAATGCCTAGCATGTGACACTCATGGACTCTGCCAATCTGCCAGGCACCCAAGACCCTGTCCTGAGAGCCTGAGTATGGCTGTGAAGATGGCCCAGCTCCAGGTCTGCCATTCTTTGCTGGTGACTTTGAGGAATCCTGATAGCTCACTTATTACAGGGCTGTCTTCATTTCTGCAAACCCAAGGGGTCAAACAAGTACCCCAGCCTCCCTAAAGGTCTACAAAGGAAGGACATGGGCTTGCAGGAGGAAGGGGCAGCTGCCCGGGGGTCAGCAAGAGTGGACAGAGGATGCAGGGTAGGAACAACGCTCTGCCATAGTGGCAGCGAGAGCAGCAGTGCCAGCCAGGCCTGGAGGAATACATGTTCTATGCATCTTGGCAACAGAGCACCAAGGGCCTACCAGGCAGGCCCTACCCCAGAGTGCCCGCACCACTCACCGCTGTCCTTCCCCTTGACGAAAGCCTCCCACTCTCGGAACCAGTGCATGCTGATGCAGTAGATGACTCCGGGGGACTCCTCAGCTTGGAACGCCTTGTTCAGCTGGAGGGAGGCGGGCGGTCAATCTGTCCCCTGTTCCTCATGACTTCCCAAAGTCCCACCCCAGCCCCTGAGCCTCTCAAACACTGGATGCCCCAGGCAGAAAATCAACGACTCCTTGACATGCTCAAGAACACTTACTGCTCTTGCAAAGGAGCCAGGTTCAACTCCCAGCACCCACATGGCAGCTCTCAACTGCCCATAATTCCAATTCCAACACTCTTCTCTAACCTCTGAGGGCACCAGGCAGCACATGGTGCACATACATATATATGCAGGGAAAACATTCAAACACATAAACTAAATCTTAAAAAGAAAGGCCAACTCCCACACTGACCAAGCAGGTCACAGCAGATAATGGCTTTTGCACTTTCTCAAGGACTAATACACAAAAGGTGCTATTTGCTCCACTTACTAGACATAACATCAGCTCACATGCGTCACTGTTCTAACAGCTCTAATGCTAGTGCCGGAGATGATGCCCAGGGCATCACGCATGCTAAGCCACACCTACAGGCCCACACTGCACTTCTTTGTGGCCACAAGGCAGAGGCCTTAAATACTTCTACCCATTATTTTAAATGCTTGAGGTCTCATCCTGTGTCCTACTGTAAGCAGCATGAGGAGGGGGCGGCCCCACCCACAGCAGACCCTGTTCGGCAGCCCCTTGCCAGGTGGGCACCACAGTCCTCACACTTTCTGTGAGTCTCAGGCACCTTCCACATGAAGGTGCAGAGCCCAGCAGTTCTCAGCGAGGAGTGCTTCATTCCCCAGGGACAGTAGTGTTCCTGTGGGGCACAGGATGGCAACCACAGTAAAGAGACCCTCAGCCGGGTGCAAGTAGAGCATGCTGGCATTTCACCCAAGCCCACACCTCTGTTGGCAGAGGCTCTTCTCTTCATTCCCTACCCTCTACGACTCGGCAGAGCACCTCCTCCTCAGCCTGACTGCACATGGCTTTGGTCCCCAAATGTACCTTGATGAAAGTGTCAATCTCCACCCTCCTGCGCTTGGCCAGCGCCTCAATCTCCACCTGGCAGATGGAGCACACATACAGATGGTTCACAGCAGGGCCGCCCCCAAATCTGCTCAGGAAGAGAGAGAGAGCCAGCATCAAGCAGGGGAGGTGCCCCCACTGCCCCCTCAGCCATTTCTAGGGCACTCTGAGCATTAAAAGGCTGGCCTGTGCCTGCTTTTCTGCAAAAGGTGCCTAGAGCTCTGCTTCCTCTCAGGCCACCAGGAGCTGTGTGGCCTGAGTGCAGTGAGGCTGCAGCAGGAGACAGTGTCCCTGGCCTTGAAGCCTTCCTTCCAGGATCAAAAACTGTTTCCCAACACCCACTGGAAGTGGGCAGGAGGGCCCCTCCTTCCTGGGGCAGACCCCACATAGTCAGCTCTACAGGGGCCTGGGTTTGTGCTGTGCTCCCCAGGGAACAGGAGCAGTAGGATCTGTCCTACGCCACCGGCTCCCAGCTCTTACCTGCCATACAGGTGCTCCCAGACGCTCTGCGGCAGGATGACCACCAGGTCATCGATGTAGTGGTATTTGTTGGGTGGGATACCTGTGAAGGAGGCACAGGAAGGGAGACCTGGGGCTTGGGCCCAGCCACCCCCACCACAACACCTCTCCAGGGGACAGACTGTTCACCTCCATGTGAGCACAGGAAGGTGTGGTTGGTGATGGGCCCTGGTTCTGCAAAGGTGTTGAACTTGTTTAGCCATTCTCGGGACACGTAGAACCGGAGCAGGCTGGGCTCTCGCATGGCAGCCAGGGACACCACCTGCTGCCGCTCACGCATGGCCTCCTCACTGCTCTTCCTGGGATGGAGGGGAGGGGATGCAGTATGAGCCAATAGACCTGGGCCCAGGTAGTCATGGACACCAAGCCATCCCATGGCCTGGTGTATGCAGAGCCACCCCTTAGCTGGGGTGTGGCCTGACCCTCTCGAAGGGAAGCTAGCCTACAAAAACTGCAGATACAGACCCACTAAGTGGTTCTCCAGCACACCCACCTGTAGAAGAGCACGTAGGCTTCCACATTCTGCACCACTGTCTCATGGACCTCAGTGACATACTGGTCATCGAATTCATACCACTGCCCATTGATCACATTCTGGCAATAGGCAATATAGTGCCCACCTGGTAGACAAGCAACAGGTTATAGAGATCACAGGGGACAGGCAGTGTAGGAGAGGCCTGGATGGAGTGTGGGACATACTCACTGCCTGCTGTGCCATGGTGACAAATGACAGAAAGAAGGTCATAGGTGGTGACCTGAGATGTGCACTCCTTGGCCAGAAATGGGCGTAGGTCAAGTCCCTCGAGGGGAAAGGAGACATGGCTGCTGACTTTGAAGGAGTACATTACCTCATGCCGGAAGCGTTTAAGGTGGACACACAGAATCTGAGGGGAGAGGGCAGGTGCCAGTCACCCTGGCCATCTAGGGAGGGGGTGACAGGGGAGCTCACAGATAGGTCTCTCACACAGGCCTAGGCCTGTTGGATTTGCTTAGAATCAATCACACATGTCAGAGACCTCCATGTGGAGTCAATAACCCCACTTTCCCTCACGAGGACTGGTGGCCTATGGTGTGGCTACCAAATGGGCTGATAGCAAGCTAGGCCGGTCCCTTAGGAAGCTGACTCTGCCCCAGCTTGCCATGTTTACTTTCCAAGAATTCTGATTCTGGTTTGGGGACTCTGAGGAGCCTCCCCAGGACACCATCCAGCCCACAGCCTGAGCCTTGCCTCTACTCCAGCTACAGAAGACTGAGCCAACCATAGCGATACTACTCACCTGGGGACCTCACAAGCCCCCAAGAGAAGAGTAAACTGAAGTTCAGAGGACACTTGCTACATGGGACCCTCTGTCAGCACTCCCTGGGGGTTTCATGGTTCTTCTGTGCTTGTGTAGGGATAGATCAGTCTTCACATGGCCTCACAGGCCACTTACACACTATCTACCCCAGACCAACAAGGCCAAGATGGCCCACTCACCTCAGGCAGACATAGGACTTTACAGTACTTCACCCCATTCCGAAGCCTACAGAGGAGGGCATAAGAGCCATGGTCAGTGTCCTGGGGGGAAGGGGGTCAGGAGAGGGACCAGGGTACAGTCCCCTCCAGACCCTTGTCATCTTGGAGGTTAGCACAGAGCTATCTGAGGGAACCCCTGGGGAAAAGTACAAGTGGGAGGACTCTGGGAACAGGGAGCTGGGGGCAGGCCCCAGGGACAACTTACTTCTTGCACCGCTCACAGCTGTACATGTTGTCACCTAGTGCGGAGGAACAAAGGCCAGAGGTCAGCAGGGACAGGAAATGGGGACCGAAAAGGCAAATACGAAGTTAAGTTTAAGGGAACAAACTGGCAGGAAGTGTCAGGATTCCAGAGGTAGAACCAGAAAGGAAAAAAAAAAAAAAAGGTTTACTGACCCCTAGAAGCACAGAAACCCTCTTATGACAGGATTCCAGAGGTAGAACCAGAAAGGAAAAAAAAAAAAGGTTTACTGACCCCTAGAAGCACAGAAACCCTCTTATGGGTGGTACTGAAAACAAGTAAAAAATGGAGGAGACAACACTGGAGGCAGACAGGTGTGGACCCAAGCCTTCACGGTGCAGAGTTCCCCATATCACATTGCTAACAAAAGGAATCTGATGGCTCAAGCAGAGCTTGATGGCCGAGTTCATCCCTGATACTTACATGGTGAAAGCAGAGCACCAACTCCCTCAAGTTGTCCTCTGACTTCCACATGTGCAATAAAAAAATGTATTTTGGGGGGGGAGGGGGTTTCGAGACAGGGTTTCTCTGTGGTTTTGGAGACTGTCCTGGAACTAGCTCTTGTAGACCAGGCTGGTCTTGAACTCACAGAGATCCACCTGCCTCTGCCTCCCGAGTGTTGGGATTAAAGGTGTGCACCACCACTGCCTAGCCCGTGCAAATATTTTTAATGTGCTCAGTATCATTGATCATTAAAAGATACAGTTCAAAACCACAGTGGCACCACCGCATGCCCAGTAAGCTTGCAACCATTCAGAAAAAAAACCTGCAATGAGCTGGCAAGCACATTGCAGGAAACCTGAATGGCGTGGAACTCTTCCAGGGTTGGGGTGTAAACTGTCATTCCCACAGACGTAGCAAGACTACTCCTGAGACTATTACTACTACACAGACATCTGTTAAAGGATCACCTCAGTGTTCACGGATGCCCACGGATGCTGTGGTATTCACAGCCCAAGTCCACAGATGGAGTCACAGAGGCTGTGGTCCATAGACAGATAAAAATGAGAAAATTCTGAGCCAGGTTGCTGTGAGGGTGAACAGGTTCGACTGCTGGGAAAGTAGAATGGCCAGGTGTGGCTCAGTGGTCAAGCACAAGCCCAGCAAACTCAAGGCTTAGAATTCAATCCCCAGTACAACAAAAAAGGACATTGTGGGGTGGCATACAACAAAGTAGAATGGTGGCTATCAGGAACTGGAGAAGGGGGAACAGGAGCCATCTAATGGATACAGTTTTAGTTTTGCAAGATGAAAATATTCTGGAAATGGAAGTGATGGTAGTTGCATAGTGATGTTAATATACACAACACTACTGAACTGTGTATCTGAAGTCAAAACCGAATACAAACAGTTATGGTAGCAAAATTGATGTTATTTGTATTTTACAATTGGAAAAGAAAGCAAAAATAATTTTTTTTTAAATCATGAAGTCAGCCAGGTGGTGGTGGCTTATGCCTTTGATCCCAGCACTCAGGAGGCAGAGGAAGGCAGATTTCTGTGAGTTAAAGGCCAGCCTGGTCTACAAAGTGAGTTCTAGAACAGGGCTATTATATTACACAGAGAAACCCTGTCTCGGAAAAAAAGCTAAAGTGGAATATCCCTTCCACTCACCAAGCTGGTAGAAAATAATAACATGTCAACAACCAAGAACCACAGGCAACAGTTTGGGAGGACAGGTGTCCAAGCCTGCCCTAGCAGGTAGCAGATGAACATCTGTCTCATTTGTTTGTTTCCAACAGTCTCATGTAGCTCAGGCTTGTCTTGAACTCACTATGTAGCTCAGGATGATCCTAAACCCTATCTCTTGCCTCCACCCCTGGAGTGCTGGGATCACAGGTGTGCACCTCTCGTAGGCTGGCAGTGGAATCCAACAGGGTCAGTTTGTGAAGTACAGTGGGCATGGGCCCATTAGTCTAGGCTGCAGGCTAGCTGAGGCACAGCCATGATGGATGGGCTCTAGGTAGTCCCCGCTCCCTGAAGATCCTGTTCTGGCAGCCAGGTCACTCACCCTTTAGCTCATCAGCAGCAAAGAAAGCAGCCAGGCAGTCTTCCAGTGTGACAACAGGCCCCCAAAACCAGCTGGGGGTACAGGATACCACGAACCTAGATAGACAAGAAAGAAGTGATAGGTGCTGTAGGGGCTGGGTATGGGGGTATGGCTAAGGTTCTGTTTGGGCCTGACTGGAAGCTTGATACAGCTGGAAACTAGAGGCCTGGGGTTGGACATTTTATGTTCATAGCTATGCAGGGGTCCCCTAGACTCCTCAGGGACTAAGGAAGTTGCCTGTGACTCTTCAGGTCACACCTGGACCCAGATGCTGCCTCACTTCTACCTGCTGCTTGGCCACTCTCTGTGTTGTCACTTATCCTCCACCATCAAGGAACATGTAGTCAAGGCTACCCCAAAATGACCAAGACCCTGACCCAATTAACTCATGCATCTTTGGCCTCCAGCTCTCCTGATCCATGGACTCTCCCTGGCCCCATGAATGCTTGTTCCTGCATTGCTGATAGACCCGGGAAGGTCAGGCCAGGCTGGAAGCTCCAAGAAGCAGGAGGATGGGCATACCGTCGGATGTATTCCACGATGAAGGCCAGCCAGCCCTGGGAGGAGTAACTGTCCCCACAGGCACCTGGCTTGGCTGGTACATTCTGGTAGATGGCAGAGTGGAGTTTGGCTAGGTCTTCCTTGCCAGGGATGGGCAATGACAGGTCCTGGAATGTTTCCACTGTGGTGGACACCTATGGGGTAAAGACCAGCCTGGTGCACACCTCTGCTAGGTGCACACCTAGCAGGTGAAGCAGACAGCCTGTTCCTGGGGTAGGAATGCTAAGGAGAGTCCACCCTGCCCCAGGTGGTAAACAATGCCAGTCTCCCCTGGACACCCACCCGGTCACAGGTGAGACACTGCACCAGGCTAAGGACAGAGCCATTGAAGACGTCTGAGATGACACTGCGGTAGCTCTGCTCCTTCCGCCTCCGGCCACCAGTACTCGGCGCCTGGGCTGGAAACAAAGCACAGGACTAGGCCAGCCTCCCCTGCATGGCAGGCACAGGCACAGATAAGAGGCTTCCTCAGCCACACTGCGCAGCCTCACTGTGGATCACATGACTGGTTCTATACGTCACCCCTTGGCACCATAGCAGCACTGTTTATAAAATGGGGCTCCCTCTCACATCCCAAGACTGCTACAAGTTTAAAGACTCAAGTGAGCACGTAGCCTGGACCAAGGTTGTAAATGCCCCACACTGGCCACATGACATCCCCAGCTGAGCTCATCACTGCCCCCGAACCTTTCTTGAGCACGTACGATGGCCCCATCCTCATAGGACTTGCACGAGGAGGGCTGCTGGACAGCTTGGAATGGCCCTCATGGTGGTGGACAGGGCTGCAGGGGCGAGAGGAGCTGCGTATGTGGGCTTCGTTGTCTGGCTCTGGGGACAGCAAGGAGGAAGTACTGGGCCAGGGTGGCCAAGCCAGTGCCCTCCATGCCAGCTCTAGGGCCAGAGCAAGAGAACCTTCCAGCATCTCCTCCCAAGAATGATGCCTGACTCCCCATACCTTCCTCTATGTCCATCCCCAACCCCATCAAACACACTGGGACAGAGCTATCCCTTGTGTTTCCAAGTGAGGCTCAAGACTAGGCAGGGCTGTGGCTCTGAAAGCCCAGGGAATCTGGCACTGAGGCTGTTCCCAGCCTGTGAGGAGGGTTCAGGGGCAGAGTCTCCCCCACCCCACAGTTGCTGCATGCTAGTGCTAGGCAGGCAACAGATACAGGACTCACAGGCTATGACTTCCCAGTGGCCCAACCAGTGACTGATACCTGGGGCTGACTGATACCTGGGGTCCGGCAGGGGCTGGTGGACCTCGGTGATGGTGGCTGAGCCTCGCTGGGTTGGTTGTCAAGGGACGCCATGGCTGTGTCCACATCAGCATCCTCATCCACTTGCTCTGAGTTGGTACGCTGCTGGCCCCAGGAGAACTTGCGGTCCTTCATTCGCTCCTTCTCAGATATGGCTCGGCCCGCCTCATCTGGGATCAGCAGCTCCATCTCTGCCTTTGAGCTGCCTCCACCACGCCCCTGCCCATCACCCTCCCCCCTGTCACTACTTGAGTCACAGGACAGAAACTCGTCCTCTGATGGGCTCCGGTCGCCATCACGCCTCTCATCTGTGTCACTGGAGTCTGAGTCCCGAGCATCAGTGAGTGTTGTCACAGCGGCTACCATGGGCTCCTTGAGCTCCTCATGAAGCTGGTCCATCAGGCAGCGTAGGAACTCCTGTGTGTCCTGCAACCAGGGCCATGTCACCAGGGCTTTCCAGGGACAGAAGAGCCACCATGGGCACTGCTGTTTCTGTCAACAAGGCTGCCAGCTGCCTCCAGCAGGGCCTGGCAGGCACCCATGCAGACAAGTGGCTTATTCTGGCCCCATCCCCCACCCCCGCCGCCGTGGCAGTCTCCTCCATAGTTCTGTGCTGCCCCCCTCCCAACCAAGGCTCAAAGAGAATACAAGACTCTTTCCAGGTCACACAACATACAAAGAGCCAGGGGACCTGGGTGTGAACCACAGAACCAACTTGGACTCTGCTTCTGCACAGTGTGGGAAGAGAGATGAGCAGCCACATCCAGCCACTGAAGTCTCCTTGCTCCCTGAGCAGAGGTCAGCAGGGTGTCAGGGACCGGGGAAGTGTGAAAGTATAGAACACTGCGAGTCAGACCTGTCAAGAATACTGCACTGAATAGTGCAGCCCAACAAACCAGGCAGCCAAGCTGATCCCTTCTCACCGCTGCATCTTCCTGCTTCCCCACATGATGCTACCATGTGTGGGACACAGGGGAAGGAGGAGAGGTCCTGGAAGCAGAGTTCCTCCACTCTCCTGGCTCACATGGGCAGGACACAAATCAAGTCACTTCCCCCAGAAGGAAGGATGGTATAATTTTTAGGACCCAGTACCTAATCCAGCCCTTCAGGAAGCTGGGAGGTGGCCTGCTGGCAGAGCCACCCTACTGAGGCAGTGATGGCAGGTGACCTCAAGAGCTGAGGGCATTGGAAGACATGGGCTCCAAGTCCAGCAGCGGTCTGACAACCCCTGAGCTACTCCTGAGCCAATGAGGGGAAGTAGGCTCATAGGTATCCAGAGACAACTGAGATTTTGCCTTGATGAAGTCCCCAGGAGAGGTCAGTGGGACCCACAACTGGCCTCTGTCCATCAGGAGGGCAGGAAGATGAATGAGAACAAGTCTTCAGCTACCACCCACTGCTCCTTCCTTTTACAAGATCAGGGGATGGCTCACTCAGTACAGAACTTGACATGCCAAGCATTAAGATCTGAGTTCAAGAACCAGAATCTGCATTAAAAACAAACAGACATGGTGGCTTGCACTTGGAGTTCTAGCACTGGGAAGACACAGACAGACAGATCCCTGGGGCTCACTGGTCAGCCAGTGAACTCCACACCAGTAAGAGACACTGTGTCAAAGGAGCTGGTGGGTGCTGTTAACAAGGATGGTTCCCAAAGTGCTGAGTGTGAGCACATGTATGTATAGACCCAGACAGACCCAGACACACACAATCTTTTTTTTTTTTTTTTTTTTTTTTTTTGGGGTTTTCGAGACAGGGTTTCCCTGTGGCTTTTTGAGGCTGTCCTGGAACTAGCTCTTGTAGACCAGGCTGGTCTCGAACTCACAGAGATCCGCCTGTCTCTGCCTCCCGAGTGCTGGGATTAAAGGCGTGCACCACCAACGCCCGGCCCCCACACAATCTTTTTAAAAAGTATAAAATTTCTGGCCAGGCAGTGGTGGTGCAAACCTTTAATCCCAGCACTTGGGAGGCAGAGGCAGGTGGATCTATGTGAGTTCCAGGCCAGCCTAGTCTATAGGATACAGTGAAACCCTGTCAGGGAAAACAAAACAAAAAAGTAAAAGTTCTGTGTGCCCCTTGCCAAGCTCTCAACCCACACAAAAGCAAAAAATCTCCTATGTCCACAAAGAGAGGCCACCAGCTGTGCCTGACTTTAGACTTAGAAATGTCTGTGGAAGTATAAGAACCAGGGAAAACAGCTTCTGCTGGGGCCCAGATGGATGTCACACAGCAGCCAAGCAGTACCACCAGATGGTGTCCACCCTGGCTATGGGCAGCACAGCTCTTTCTAGAAATAAAGGCCACTTTGTGGTAAGAGACAAGCTCAACTTGTCCCTTACCCCACTCCTGTCACTGTGTGCTGTGTGACCTGGATGTATAACTTCTCTGAGCCTTGCTCACTTGTGACGTGGGGAGCAACATGCTTTGTGGTAGACAATGAGACACAGGCCACTGTGGTCACCACTTCCCAGAACAGCCTGGACTGGGTGACAGACAAGAGAGTGAAGGTATCTCTAGTGCCCACCACTGCATCTGAGGGACCAACATATAGGCAGCAGAAGAGATGGCCCAGACAGGTCCAGCTCTGACTGCAAGCTTAGCTAGGAGTCCCTGCAATATAGCAGGCCATGTGGACTCAGCATGGGTTGAGGAACTCACATGGCACATTCTTGGATTCATGATTTCCTTTCTTCTTGGCTTCCCTCAAACTCACTGTGTAGACCAGATAGGCCTCAGACTCACAGAGATCCACCTGCCTCTGCCTTCCTGAGTGCTGAGACCAAAGGTGTGTGTCACCACGCTTGGCTTGTGATTTTCTAAACAGGATGTTATGGTGGGTCTCAAAGGTGCTCTCTCAGTTTTCTTGCCAGGCATGGTACAGCATACCTATGTTCTTTGATCACAGCGCTCAGCACTCAAGAGGTAGGGGCAGGTGATTCTCTGTGAGTTCAAGACCAACCTGGACTATATAGTGAGTTCAGGATACCCAGACTTATATATCAGGAACCTTAAAGCAAATAAACAAACAAATCTCCCCTCCCCCCAGAAAAAGAAAAGTAGGGCTCTATATGTAGAGTGCTTGTTGCATGAGCCTGTGGACCCCAGTCTGGTCTCCATACCCACATAACAATTGGGGCACACCTATAATCCCAGAGCACAGACAGGAGGGCTTGGGGTTTGCCAGGTCAGTAAGTCTAGCCTAATTGTGAGCTCCAGGCTGTGAAGTGACCCAATCCCAAAGCAATAAGGTGGGGAGAGATGAATGGTCCATCCATCACCAACTTCTGTCCTCCACACATGTGTACATGCTTGTGTGCACACAAAACACACACACACACACACACACACACACACACACACAACCCACACACACACACACACACAAATTTATAAGAAAAAAATCCAAGGAGGCTGAGGGCCAGGGCAGGCAGGTGCCTGGGTGCCCTCTCCACCGCTTATTTGCTGTGTGGCTGACATGGGTGACTTGATCCCTTAAATCTCAGTTTCCTTGTCTGTAAAATGGTGCCAAAGGACAGCAGGCTACTGGGAGACCTCATGTCCTTATGAGGAAAAAGGGCTCTGACAGTAGATGCCTAGCCTTTTTGCCTGCTGTGAGGTCTGTTCTGGCTGGGCCACTGTCTCAAGCAGCTAGACAGCTTACCTGCTGGGCATAGCCTCTGAACATCGGGTTGACCAACTTGATCCCATGGGACAGGCTGGTGGGGACCACATAGCTTGGCCTGTGGGGAGACCAAACCTGCTAGCACAGGTAGCCAGCCTTGAACTATGCCATGAGAGGCAAGAGGGCAAGGCAAGTCAGACCCGACAGGGGCTGTTCCCAACTCCCACACTGGCCCCGCTGGCCAGGAGACAAGCCCACAGGATCCATTGCTGAAAAACTTAAAACTTCACAATAATACAATGAAACACTATCACCAAAGTGTCCCCACCCAGGAGGACACATTAAAACTCTAGTGATATCCCCAGAAGATGAGGCTAAAAGTACACCCAGAGACCCCCAGCATCAACTCTGACCTCTTACCCAGGGGACAATGTAGTCAGTTCCTTTCCTTTTTCTTTTTTTCCAAGACAGGGTTTCTCTGTGTAACCCTGGCTATCCTGGCACTCACTCTGTAGACCAGGCTGGCCTTGAACTCAGAGATCCACCTGCCCCTGCCTCCTGAGTGCTGATATTAAAGGCGTGTACCAACACTGCCCAGCTGCACTGCCAGTTTCTTAATCCACACCTAGTGTGTGCCTACTGACCTATTTAAGCACTCCGAACTTTACTTTTACTTTTACACTTGTTCTTTTTGTTTGTTTGCTTTTGGAAGCTTGAGGACTATTATGCTACTCTTTGAGAGAAAAAGAACAGGGCAGGCATGCTGTAAACCTTTGTAGCTGCTGGGAAAGGAAGGGATAGAAGGAAGAGGGAGTCGGCCATGCCATGTGAGTTAGGGATGCTTAGTAAGCGGCTTGGCAAGGAAGGCTGGCAGGCAGGCAGCGGACAGGAGGGGCCTTCAGGGAAGGGTGAGAAAGCCCAGAGGCTAGCACAAGCAAAGTGAAGGTTTGGGCCAAAGGTGAAGCAGGAACAGAGAGAGGGAACTTAATGAGGGTTTGTAAGCAACTGCCTCACCTTCCACTTGCCCAGCCATGCTTCTCATCTTTAAATTCACTTCACTCTGCCACAACCCCAGCCTAGCTAGCACCCAACACTCCTGTACAAGTACCCCACTCCCACCTATAGCCTCAACTGAGACCTGACACTGGCAAGATGGTCTGTAGGTCTCAGCACAGACATTTGTCAAAACAGCTGTCACCCAGGCTTCATGTAGCTCTGTGGCTAGGAACAAGAATAAGAGTTCTGTACCCTCTGCCTCCCATTCTTCAAGCAGTGCTAGATAAAACTAGATATGTGGTGCAGGCTTGCTGTGAGCACCCATGTGCTATGGAAGAATCCAGAGGATGTGCCCCCTCAAGAGGACACAGGCACTCCTGCCCCACACATCTAGCCGAGATCACACTCACACTCACCGTTTCTTGTGCCAGACCTCAGAGATCAACTTCTGGTAACTTTTGCACAAGGCAGGCTTCTTGTCTGTGCGTACCAGGCCACCACATTCCAGGAAAAACTGGGTGAGTGGGGGGCTGGGTTGGGGGTAGAGAGCCAGGACAGAAAAGAAATGGGAGGAACATGGTGTTATTTAGAAGGAACTAGGTGAGGGCTGGAAAGATGGCTCAGCGAGTAAAGATATCTGTCACTGAGCCTGGTGACCTGAGTTCAATTCCTGGGATCTAAATGGTAAAAGGAAACAGCCAACTCCTAAGGTTGCCCATGACTCTATCCATGCTCACACATACACACTCACGATAAATAAATATCTTTTTTTTAAGGAGCAAAGTGAGCAACAAAAGGCCAAAATGACCATGTAAGATGAGGCCACCACACCCATAACTCCCTGCAGATGACTACCAACCCCACCCCCACACTCATGCTAAAGTCCTCACCTCTCATGTCTCAGTATGTGACTCAAGAGAGACAGGGTCTTTAAGCAGGTAGTCAGATTACTATGGGGTGCGGGGACAGGCCCCAGGCCAGTCTCACTGGAGTCCTTACAGAGCAACACCAGACATGTGCACGGAGGCAAAGCCCTCATGAGAATACGACTATCTACAGGAAGAGAAGGGCCTGGGGAGAAACTGCTGACAGTGGGCCTTTAGGATTGAGAGCCAGGAAAGCCTTGTCAATAACAAGAAACAAACAGCCCTCTCTCCCGAGTCAGATGGGGGCTCCCTGCCACAGGTCCTGAGGCTGGGACCTGTGAACGAATAGCAGTGGAGCTGCCTATATTGCAGGACTTGTCAGGTGGGAGGGTGCCTCCTCAATTCCACTTTCCACATGTTTTACAAGTTATCACACTGAAGGAAACCACATTCACATGTTCGAGCACACACACACACACACACACACACACACACACACACACGTCAAACAAATATATGCAAACAATGTCAATTAATCATATTGCCATGAGACAGCCATTGTGAACCTTTGGGGGCTGTCCTTCCAGAGTCTTCTAGGTATTCATATCTGCTCTCTTTCCCCTTCCTTTCTGTGTGTATGTTAGCCTTTAACATACAGCTATACATAGGAAAATGGTAAAGCTCCTGGTTTGCTCTAACATTATTGTGTGAGGTAGGGGTGTGTATGTGTGTGAAACAATGAACACACATACTCTCAATCACAACTGAGTAGAGACCCCTACGAAATAGCTGTACCACACCTGGTAACCTCCCTTTCTACCTGCCAGGTTCTGCACCCCTCACCAGTAAATGTTGTCCTACACTCCCCACAAGACTACTCCTGCCCTTCCCTTGGGAGAGGACAACTTACCAATTGGACAAGGCCTGCAGGGCAGCATTCATGTAACAGGAGTTCCCTAGGTTCTTCATGCCTGTGAGGCCTAAAAACAACATAGAGAAGGACTGAGACCCCTGTCCAGAAGGACCCTCACAAGCCTCCTCCCTTGTGCTCTACTAGTATTGACTAATAAAAGGAAACAGCCAGCTCCTAAGGTTGCCCATGACTCCACCCATGCTCACACATACACACTCACAATAAATAAGTTTATTTTATTTTATTTTTTTTTTTTTAAGAAGCAAAGTGAGCAACAAAAGGCCGAAATGGCCATGTAAGACAAGGCCACCACACCCACAATTCCCTGTATTCCACCTCCCAGAAACCAGCACTGCTGCTGCTAGAGTGTATGCTGCTCTGTTCAGCTCGGGCTCCAAAACACACAGATGAGGAGACCACACACAGGGCCTAGGACCAATGTTACATGCAGCTGAGACAGGGATGAGCACATCTCTCGGGAAGGCACGTTCTGTGCCTGGTGCTTTCCATATCCAGCCTGGCCCAAGAGCTCCCTGTTGTCGGCCATTACCTCGAGGTTTCAGATCATCATCCTCAGACTCAGACTCTCCTTCATCAGCCACAGCAATGGGGACGGCTTTCAGAGGGTGGGAGGGTGGTGGGGAGTCCTGTGGTAATGACCCAAGAGAGGAAACTGTGGTGAAGATATGGACCTTAATACACTCACCTCCTCCCAAGGGAAATGTGCAACCCCCAGAGTCTAGCTGGCCCCAAGTGAGCCCAACAAAGTGAAGGATATCATGCAAGAGGGGGCACTGGGAACTCCCAGAGATGCGATTAATTTGTAAGAACTGCTGTTTCCTTTAGAAGACATTGGGGGGGTAGGGGAAGAACAAAGAAAAGCCACACAGTAACTTCTCTCAGGAGAGGGGGCACTGGGAACTCCCAGAGATGCAATTAATTTGTAAGAACTGCTGTTTCCTTTAGAAGACATTGGGGGGGGGTAGGGGAAGAACAAAGAAAAGCCACACAGTAACTTCTCTCAGGTTCCTCAGGATATACTTTAGGTATGGGACTGACTGCCAGGGACTATCTGTGACTTTCTGAGCCCTCCCACAGCCATGAAAAGACCCATGCTCCTACCCAATCCTCCCTGCTCCTGCTCATCTGTGCCCTCACAGCCCTACATGGGCCCAACTGGGCTCAGTGATCACTTGCTGACAAGAGCTCCTTGTCACATACTTCCTCTGGACTCCCTGGCTCAGGCCACACTGCCCCACCTGGACATTGTTGCCAATAACTAGCCCCTACCTGCTCTGAGAGCTTGGCTGAGGAGCTGGGCAGGTGGACTGCCAGGCGCTGTTCCAGGAAGACTTCGCGCTCACAGGCATAGCACCACACCCGGAACGTAGTCAGGTTCACAGTCAGGTTGTGCTTCTTCACCTGGAGGGGAAGATCCTAAATAAGGCTGAAGACAATATGGCCGAGCAGGTGCCTGACCCAGGAAGCTCCCTGGCCCCAGGAAGAGGCAGCCTGGTCAGTGTCCAGAAGCTGAGGCTAGCTCATCCTCCTCCAGGGAGGCCATCCATCAGACAGGGCTAGTGTGGGAGGCTGTGCCTGCTTTCCTTTTAGCAGCTGTGCAGCAATTGTGCTGTACCTATGACTGTTATGCTTTCTAGGCCCAGGGCAGGTGGAGCTAGGAGGCTGCTGGCAAGGGCTGGGCCCTGGGCTTCCCTACACCCACACCCACCTGTGCGTGAATGGTGCTATGGTCAGCGAAGGACTCTCCACAGCCAACATAGGGGCAGGTAACCTGGGGAGAGAGGCAGTGACAGTGGACTGGAACCCACAAAAGAGACAGGTTCAGTACAGTAAGTCCCTAACTCTACTCCAAGGCAGTGTGACTTGAAGCTATCCAACATGTGACTGAGGGGCTCCCACCCCAAAATAACAAAGGTTTATGCAATCAAAGATGAGGGTGGCCACCTGCACTGAGTGAAGTAGACCCTGTGCCCAGATGCTGGGGTCAGTGCCTGTCCCTTTAATTCAGGGGCTAGGAAAAAGAACACTGAATGGGCAGTGGGTGTTCAAAATACATTGTGGCAGCAGTTGGTGCCCAACACTAACCCACTGTCCCTTTGGGAGATCCCAATGATGAAGAAAATAATCTGGGACCATATAAAGGCTGAGTACTATTTTTCTGGAGTGCAACTTTGGACGTGTTTGCATGGGTCATATTAAGCACCCTGGATCTTAACTTTGCCATTGAAGGGAAGTTTAGCATGATCTTCAGTACTCAGGCAGAGAGACATATAGACACACACAAACACACACACACACACACACACACACACACACACAGAGAGAGAGAGAGAGAGAGAGAGAGAGAGAGAGAGAGAGAAATACATACAAACAGACAGATAAAAGTTCAGTTTAGGTGGAGACCGGTCCAGAACAAGTACAGCTTCAGGTATTCACCCAGGTGCTGAGGCAAAAACAGATAATTGGATCTGCTCACCTCTGACTGCCTTTGGCCTCACATTTGTCTCTCCAAGATCTGCCTTCCCCCCAAACCCAGCTTCAGAGTCTCCATCATGGGCCTTTACCCCTGTTTGGAAGACAGCAGTCACCACAGTCCCCATTCTCCAGGAGTGCCTGGTGTCACGGACAGACATTTCAGGAATGACCACTGGCTGTGACCTTAAAGCCATGGTCAAAGCATACCATTCCTGTATCAGGGTCCCACATCTGCCCCGGAGGACCTGGGGCTCCCATGAAGTAGTAGCATGTCTCTGTGAGTCCTTCTGGTTGTCTCCTGAGCTCCTGGTGTACTACACTGCTCCACATTCTGAGTGAAAGGTCAGGGTACCTTTGGGGTTCTGTAACTTCTGCAAGGACTGACTTGGTGCTTTCATCACTTTACATCATCATTTTGTTTCTGCTGGTGATTTACTCTTTAAGACAAGGTATGCCATGCTGGGCGTTGGTGGCGCACGCCTTTAATCCCAGCACTCAGGGGGCAGAGGCAGGCGGATCTCTGTGAGTTTGAAGCCAGCCTGGTCTCCAGAACAAGTGCCAGGATAGCCTCCAAAGCTACACAGAGAAACCCTGTCTCGAAAAACCAATAAATAAATAAATAAATAAATAAATAAGTAAATAAAAGACAAGGTATGCCAGGTAACCAAGGATGGCTATGTAGATCATGCTGAGTGCAAACCTGTGACAATCTTCCTTCTGTGTCTCACATACTAGTATTATAGTTTGCATCACCACACCCAGCTTGCTGGAGTTTTGTTTTGTTTTGTTTTTGTTTTTTTCCTGAGCGTGGTGGCACATGCCTTTAGTTTCTTCAGGAAGCAGAAGCAGGTGGATCTCTATGAGTTCAAGGCCAGCCTGGTCTACAAAGTGAGTTCCAGGACAATCAGAGCTACACAGAGAAATCCTGTCTCAAAAAAAAAAAAAGTATTTGTTTTTAAAACAAACAAACAAACAAACAAACAAGCAAACAGGGTCTCTATATAGCCCTGGCTGTCCTAGAGTTCACTAAGGAAACCAGGCCTTCAACTCACAGAAATCTTCCTATCTCTGCCTCCTGAACAGTGAGATTAAAGATGTACACCACCATACATGCAATTTTTTGTTTGTTTATTTGTTTGTTTGAGACAGGGTTTCTCTGTGGCTTTGGAGGCTTTCCTGGAACTAGCTTTTGTAGAGCAGGCTGGTCTTGAACTCACAAAGATCCACCTGCCTCTGCCTCCTGAGTGCTGGGATCAAAGGTGTGAGCCATTACCACCCAGCCTTAAAAAGAAATTTTAAATAACATTTTTATGCATGATTATAAAATATACAACATAGTTATAGAAAATTTGAATACTACTTGTAGTACAGAGAAAAATAAAAATTACTTGTAATTCTACACCCCCAAAAGAGTGGCACATCTTGACACATCTACCTTCATTCTCTCTTTTTTCTTTGAGACAAGAGTCCATGTAGCTCAGGCTATCCTGAAACTTGCTATGTAGACCAGGCTGTGCCATCACATCTACCCACTTCCACTTTTGGTGATGACAGCAATCACAGCACTAAGGAACTCCCTGGATGCTATGCTAAGCCCATCGTAGAATCTGTCTGGTTATTCTACCCTGTCCCCACTAGAGGGCCTGTAGACCATGTGACTACATGGGGAAGTGAGGTCTTGCTAGGAAGCCCAGGCCCCAACCAAGACTCCACACAGAGTTCATGGAGACAGGATACTTGGCCCAGATACTTCTCCAGCTTGATGTTATCTTCTGTCACTCTTCAAGACTGCCTAAGTAGCTATTCCAGGGACTATCCCTGGAGCCTGAACTTGCAGCAGTACCCACTGGGGCTAGGTACTCCCAAGCCAGAGTTCATATTCTTTACCTGGAGGCAGGCCCATAGGTTAGGTCCAGCAACACCACATGACTGGCAGGTTCCCTAAGGGAGGGAGAAGAGTGAGGTGTAAGTGGCCAAGGGAATGAAGCACAGGACATCCTCTCCATCAGCTGCCACTCACTCATCCCAAAGGTCTTGGCTTCAGAGGCTTTCCTCAACCTACCACCTACACAGGAGCCTCTGGGTATTTTCTTCTGAGCGAGTTTTTTAAATCACACGTTTGTAAAGGTATTTCAAGTCAAATCAGTGGAACCTTAAATGGACTAGCAGACTCCTCACAGTGACCTCCACACCCTTCCTGAGCTCTTCTGTGAAGTCAGCTCGGGGTGCATGCAGGCACTCCTCCTCTGCCTGGAAGGCAGTCTCACAGTTTTCATTAGCAACAGCCCACCTAGGAGTCTGCCTGAGCAGCCCCTGGATGTCTGCACTGGATTCACTGTCAGCTCCTGCTTTCATGCTTGTCCCTCAGAAGCTTTTTAAACACTGCTGGTCTTATTCTAGAACTTTCTGAATATCCAGAGAGATGCTGATGACAGTTTCTGCCAGCCCCAGCCAATCCTCTCCCACTCCTCTTCTTCTCCACAGTCAGGTTCCTCTAACTCTCCTTCCTTCAAAGAAAACCTTTTGGTCTGTTCACTTATTTTGTTTTGAGAAAAGGTCTCACTATGTAGCTTGACCTGGCCTGGAACTCACAGAGATCCACCTGCCTCTGCTTCCCAACTGCTGGGATTAACAACATGCACCACCACACCTGACAACCCAGGGACTTGCTTGTGCTCCAGTATGGAAACCACCCTCAGTCCATGCATGCTTTTTACAGAATTTCACTTCAACAACCAGAAGACAATGACTGCATGTCACTTGGAGGAAGCTCATCTTCCCCTGCAGGTACCTTAAGCAAGCTAGGGGCTCCATGTGCAACAATGGATGGGAGGCTAGGGTGTGGCTCATTAGTTCTGCATTTTCCCAGAGTGCCAGGAGAAAAATGAGAACCACCCCTGAATGCTCACCCCTGCCTTATAAAAGCTGTGTATCCAGCCAGGGGAAATGGATGGAGCCATTACTGACTCTCAGGGGAGCTGATCAAAACTGATTAATGGCAGCAGGACCCAGTGCCTGGAAGAAAGCTCCCAAGCAGATGCCAGCAGGGCCATTACACACAGAAGGCTTTGCAGAGCTGGGGGCAGGGCAATACTGTACTATCTCACAAACGTCCCCCAAGCACATGGCAGCCCAAGGTTGGGCCCCAGGTCCTAAGGATTTTTCCTCTACCTTAGACTTAAGCAGCAAGTCCTCTTTGGTCACCTCTCCTATGGAGTCCAGGTGAGGGCAGATGTCTCTGGTGTCTCCCATTCTGGCCCAGGCGCCCCTGTAAGGAGACACAGCAGGTTAGCAGCAGCCACTGCCAATGATACCACAGGGGAGAGAGGTTTTTGGCATGGCTAGTTGCAATCCCATATCTATTTCATACCAGCTGGTAACCCAGCAAGCTGCTTCCCTTCCCTGGGCCTCCCTCTCCTAGTCTGTGGAGAGGGCAGCTGTCCCACTGGGTTGGTATGAGGGTCCACACAGTTAAAGGATGTCAGAATGGGACTGGCACATGCTTGGCAGATGGCATTCTGGACAATGCTGGCTGGCTATGAGGCTTAGGCTCACTGGTGGGGAGACAATGGAGTCATGCCAATCCCTCAGGACTGTACACTACCCTGTGCAGACCCATGGGAGGTGTCAGTGATTTAGGAAGAGGTCAAACTCATGTCTGGGATCTACTCCACCAAGTGGGCAGGCAGAAGAATGGCTGGCATTCAAACCTGCCTTCTCTGACCAGACAGGGCCATCTTCTAAGGAGCCCAAGGGAGGCTGAGTGCCCCAAAGCCGCAGTCTCAGTGGAGCAGCTCAATTATAAGTTACATATTAAAGGCAACACAAGTGGCACTGCCTTCAGGAACATCTGAGGACAAGGAGAGTGGCTGAGCACTGGCAGAAGACTCACCCAGGAAGCAGGATGGACGAGGTGGCCACAGTGTCAACAGCAATGTTTCTGGGTGACAGATATCATGGGGTAGAAAAGTTAGCTTTGCTGCTGTAGTGACACACTCATAGGAAAAGCGAACCTGGATGCTCTAAAGGTACTAGTGCAGAGAAGCTAGGTCCCTCCATGCGAGACAGCCCCCCTGACGTTCTCTTTAAATCATCTTCTGGAAGATGAGTGCTTTCCTGCCAGGTGGGGGCGCACTCAAACCACCCAGGAGACAGTCTGGTCACTGGGCTGAGACAACCCTCCTGACGTTCTCTTTAAATCATCTTCTGGAAGATGAGTGCTTTCCTACCAGGTGGGGGCGCACTCAAACCACCCAGGAGACAGTCTGGTCACTGGGCAGAAGTGCAACACTAGGCAGGGGGGGCGGATACCCTGGCACTATTTTTTTTTTTTTTTCAAAATCCTGTTTTCCGTTTTGTTTTTAAAGGACACGCCAGGTCTGTAGTGGTCATGTCTATAGTCCCAGCACTTGGAAGGTAGCAGGGCAATCCCAAGGTAAAGGCTGGGGCTGGAGAGGTGACTCAGCAGTTAAGAGCACTGGCTGCTCTTCCTAAGGACCTGAGTTTGGTTTCCAGCACCCACATGGTGGGTGGCTCACAACCATCTGTAACTCCAGTTCCAGAAATCGGACAGCCTTTTCTGGCCACTGCAGGTACCAAGCAAGCAAATGGTAAAATGCTGGCAACACAATCATACATACAAAATAAAATAACTAAAAAAAAAAAAGGTCAATGTCACCCTCTGTTGCACAGAAAGTTGGAGGCTAACCTGGGGCACATGAGACCTTGTCTTAAAAAATAAAAATAAAAACAGCTAGGTGGGGGTGGCACACGCCTTTAGTCCCAGCACTTGGGAGGCAGAGGCAGGTGGATCTCTGTGAGTTCGAAGCCAGCCTGGTCTCCAGAGTGAGTTCCAGGACAGGCTCCAAAGCTACACAGAGAAACCTGTCTCGAAAAACCAAAAAATAAAATAAAATAAAATAAAAACAAAGCCAGGTTTAGTGGCACACCTTTAATCCCAGCACTTGGGAGGCAGAGGCTGGTGGTAGAATTAGAGATCAAGACTAGCCTGGCCTACACAGTGAGTTCCAGACAAGCCAGGGCTACTCTGCTAGACCCTAGAGAGAGAGAGAGAGAGGGAGAGAGAGGGGGGGGGGGGGGGGGGGAGAGGAGGGAGGGAGGGAGGGAGAGAGAGAGAGTCCAAAATAAATAACAACAAAAACCCTGTCTCAGTGCTTTAATACTTCAACAGAATCAGTCTAGGAACCTGACAACTGATTCTGGCTCAAAGCAGGTTCAAATCAGCCACAGGTGTAGATGTAGCCTAAAGTGTCCTCATTGACAGCCAGGGCTACCCTCCACCTGCACCCCCTCTTCACCCCCAGGTTCAGCCAGGCAGAACATGCCAGCTGTCACTAGGCTGAACAGAGTCCTATAGCAGCCCAATAAAAGCCCTCCCTGTTGTCTCAGCTGCTGTGACAGCTCCAGTAGCACAGACCAGGAGGTAGTTCCTTCTTGTCTCAATTTTCATCAATGGCCATCCCAGAGCAAGGGCTGAAAGGTGGTCATCAGGCTTCAGGCCTTGCTCACTTGTGAGCGCTCTCTCTCTCTAAAATTTGTTAACTTTTATTTGTGTGTGTATGTGTATTTGTGTGGAGGTCAGAGGACAACTATAGGAGTCAGTTCTCTCCATGCACTATGTGGGTCCCCAGAGTAGGAACTCAGGTTGGCAGGCTTTGGACACAAGTACCTTGATCTGCAGAGCCATCTTGCTGGCCTTTGTTCCCTAACTTTTAAAAAGCAACACCCCTACTTCACTTTTATCCTGAGCATCTTAAAACCAATGTGGCTTCACCACCC